GTAGTCTCAAGATCCAGCCGAACCGAGCAGGTGACACGATACGCGATACAAAAAAATCTACTGTAAGGCAGTAAGCATCTAGATTGGTAAGAGAAAAGTGGGAGAACAATAGATGGATTGCCTCCAAATCGTCCTGCTGCACTCCTTCAACCAATAGTCATCAGTGCAGTATAGTCTTTGGATCCAAGCATAGATTATAGACTACAACTTAAAATTTTAAAGTATAGGACAGTGGCATATCAATCAATTCGGTATTTGGCCGCAACCATCATTTCTCAATCTCGCATGGACCTACTTTGCAGTTGTATGCATTATCGTTCACTATTTGAAGAATGTTTAAATTTGCAATCTCATAAACAGCCTTAAGCAAATACTCTGCAATGGTTTCCCTATTTTTTTCAATTTTAGTAAAATCATCATCATATAACATGTCATGAACGCATAAGTAACTGGTGGCCAAAGGAAGAGGTCGATGACAAACTAACCGGGTGCTTATGCTTCCTAGGTATATATATTACAACCAAATGAAGTGTGGATGCACCTGGAACAAAAAAAAAGTAAGATACACATCACTAAAATTGGAAACATGGGTGTACTAAATGGACAAGCAAGTATCAGAAGGGACCAATAAACGGATAAGTACGAAAATAGACAAAATATGCACGAAATTAGCAGGGACGAGCAGACAAGGAGGAGCACGGATCCTGGAACCTCCGGACCTGACGCAGCCCCTTTGACACGCCGCGTCCCCAAGGTCGGAAGCAACGAAGCCCCTCTGGAGCTGTTCATCACACCTACTGCTACAGGGATCTGAGAGAAGGAAGGCATCACATTTGGGGATCCTAGGGGAACCCTAAGGATGAGAAGGAAAAAGCTAAAATCAATCCCAAAAACAATAACAAAACCAGATCAGAAGAAGTAACAAGAACGTGTATAGGAAGCTAGGGTTTCGTCGAGCAGAGAAGCACATGCTCCCCGGCGGGAGGAGGCGTTGAGGAGCCCGCGCGGAGAATGAGGGAGAGAGGGGGGGCTGCCGGGCCACACCCGTGCCGGAGCGCCGCCCGTGGGGGCGCCGTCACCTCGCGCCGCCGCCACCTCTGAAGGGAGAGAGAGAGAGAGGAAGGGGAGGGAGGAACGGAGGTGAGAGGTAGGCGGGGAAGGGAGGAATGGAGGAGGAGGAGGAGGAGGAGGAGGAGGAGGGTGGGCGGCCGCCGAGCCTCGACCGTGGCAGCCGCCATTGCCCCTGCCCGCGTCGGGGAGAGACGGGGAGAGCGAGAGTAACAACGAAGAGGAGAGAGGAGGGGTGAGAAGCTAGATATAGAAGTGGAAGCTAGGGTATATATTTGCTTCTCTGGATTCGGAGGAGAAGCGGAGGATGCAGAGGAGAAGCGCGAGAAGCCGCTTTCGACAGAATCCGCTCCAAGCGATCTGGGCCGCACGATCGAAGATCTGACGGCCGAAAAAATTAGAGATGACGTGGATGGTGAGCCTTACGGGCTATCTAGGGAGCTATACTATATATATATATATATATATCGTGGATTTTCTTACACGGGTGTTTTCTACCCACTGGGGAGATAGTTGTATACCTCGCAGATCTTCGCCACGGGTTCATCCGAACGGTTGGATGATACCCGTGAACTTCTCCAGCAGCCTATGCACGTAGCCCTCTCTCTTCCTGTATACTCGGTATCTCTCAAGCCGTGCCCTACTCTAACATGCTGAACTGTAAAAAGGCAACCTGCTTGGCATGGAGCTGCTGCTAGGTCCCTGACAAAAGGTGGGGCCCAACTTGCACATAAACTCCACTCTTACTCTCTCTCTCTCCTCTCAAGTTACTTTCACTTTCAGCGTTCAACAAAGTACTGCATGCACCTAAATATAGGTGTTTTTAGTTTTTCTATGACATTTTGCACGTAAACTCCACTCTTACCTCTCTCTCCTCTCAAGTTAGCATTACCTCTGCATGCTACCCGTGACTTCCTGTTTGGCGGGGATCTGCACCCAAAACGGAGTTGCTTGTTGGGGGGCTTCTCCAGAATGGACCAGTCACGAGCGATAGTAAAGGAGCCGTTTGGAGCCATTTTGACCCAGGGGCTATTCATTTGAAACATTTACCAAAGCAGGGGGTATAAATAGAAAAACATCTGTTAGCTCCACCGATGAAGTCCCTAAAAGCGTGCTCTCACTTGAGCTTTGGGGTGGAAAGGAGCCAAAAATAGTAGCTTCTCCGGCTCCTCCAAGGGCCCTAAAAATACTCTCATTTGAGTAACTAAATAAGGGCTGGCTTAGTTTGCAAGCCATTTTGCCTGAAAGTGACGGTTTACAGGATTGCGTCCAGGCAAAACAAGCTGGCGTCGGAGGCCTGCTGGAAGCTGGCTGCACCGTTTTAGGGGGACAAGACCTGAAGCAAAAAAAATGGCTTCACTATCTCTGAAGTGAAAGCTATAGAGACCTTAGTTTTTCTATGCATTACCTCTGCATGCTACCCGTGACTTCCTGCACGTGGCAGTTCGGGGGATCTGCACCCAAAACGGAGTTGCTTGTTGGGAAATTTCGGGAATTTCTGGTGTTCAAAATGCTCGTCTTCCTTGCTGTACAGAATGGACCAGTCACGATGTCCAGATTTTTCTTGCGATAGTAAAGTGGCAAAGGCCAATGAGTAAAAACGTAATCTTATTTTTTTGTATGCATCATTAAAAAAATAATAAATCATTTGCTGACCCAGGGGCTATTCATTTGAAACAACTTGAAATTCGTCGCGAGGTCTACTCCAAATTTTAGCAGGAAATTCAGTCCTCCAATATATATTTATATATTTCTTATTTTAGAAATTAGGAAAAATATCTTGATTGGATCTGTTAGCTCGGAAAGGAGTCGTCAGCAAAGAGAATGAATTAAGGATGGGTGAAAATCTTGAGAACCGGATTTGGTTAGGCGGCACCGTCGGAATTCTCCGGCATTGTAGCGCAACGTAGCATATATTTCGTTTGTATTTGGTAATAATTGTTCAATCGTTGACTAATTAGGCTCAAAACGTTCGTCTCGCAAAGTACAACCAAACTGTGCAATTAGTTTTTTATTTCGTCAACATTTAGTACTCCATGCATATACCGCAAGTTTGATATGATGAAGAATCTTCTTTTTGCATAGTGTCAAAATTTGGATTCTAGGTCTAAACAAGGGCTTAGTTTGCATGTTTGCATGCATGCGGTGCTTTGTTGGATGCTGAAAGTGACGTGAGAGGGAGGTGAGAGAAATGTGAGAGTGAGGTGTGTGTCAGGATTGCGTCCAGGCGAGAGAAGCAAGCTGGCGTCGGAGGCAAAATAAGAAGGGGGAAAGCCTGGTAGCCCCGTTAGTGCGCTCAGAAGCTGCCTGCACCGTTTTAGGGGGGACATTATACACCCGTGGGGGATAAAGAACACGGGTGCAAGCAGGATATTTTCGATATATATATATCTCTAGGGGAGAAAAATGCGTGATGCATATGGTCTTTGTCCAGTGCTTGCTATAGTTTGTTCAGACTGGGTTGATTTTAACACCAGTTCTGCTCAATTCACTTTTCTCATTGAGACTCAATATCTTTCCAAAGCTCTATATATTTGAGTTTTGCCCAGCATATTGAAGAGTTCTCTAATTCCATTAGCGCGAATGGCTAATCATGTTTGAGGCTTTGAATTGTGCTTTGATCTTTTTTATGCTGGAATGATATTTGAGCCTTTGCACAACAGTCTAGACAAACAATTACATGGAGATGGAATGAAATACAAGAGCACATATGATTCTGTTGAGATTATTTGCAGCCACATTGCAACAGTGAACACAGGAAGATGAAATAAGCCATGGGATATCATCTGTGTAGTTTCATTTATTTGAACAGGTTGGTCTAATAGATTATGTTATCTGGTATCAATCTTTAATACTTCTGGAGCATGTCAGTGAAGAAAGGTCTTTTTATAATTTCTAGTGTAGTCTAGGCCCTGTTTGGTACAGCTTATCTAGGAAGCACTTGCCAGATAAGGCTGTACAAATAGAGTAAAAGCGACGGTCAAAATAAGCTGGTCTGATCTAACTTCTGCTTTTTAGTACAAATGGGAGCGGTGTGAATAAGCGTGGCCAGAATAAGCTGTAGAAAAACGTGGTGTTTGGCTGTTGACTTTAGTTTATTTTGGCCATAAGCAGCTTATAAACTGTACCAAACAGGTCCATACCTCCTGTCAATTCATTGTTTAGTGTAGTAGGAGTAACTTGTAGTAGTTGATCAAACGCTGTCGAGTTACTTGACATAGTTCTATTATAGTTACTTGACATAGTTCTATTATAGCAGTTTCCCGGGGTGTGATCGGTGACGTGCCTTGCGTTTAAGTCAATTGCGTCCCTCTGAAGTCTGAATCGTTCAGATATATGTGAGGCAACGTGATGGAAGGCATGTATGATTATGAATCTATCATTGCTAGGAATTTCAATACTATCCAAGTTTTCCGAGTGTGGGAGATCTGGAGATGTAAAGGGGATGATGATGTAAAGCGGGGTGATGCGTGAACCGCTAGCCGAAAAGTTCAGGGGCAGACGCCACAACAGCTAGCGAAAAGTTCCGTTGGATGAAAGATAATATGGGCCTCGTTTAGATAGCTGTTAGGGATCAGTATTTAGCACGGTAGCATTTTCGTTTGTATTTAATAATTATTGTCTAATCATGACCTAACTAGACTCAAAAGATTCGTTTTGTAATTTACAACCAAACTGTGTAATTAGTTATTTTTTTATCTATATTTAATACTCCATGCATATGTCTAAAAATTTGATGTGATGGAGAGATAGTGAAAAAACTTAGAATCTAAACAAGTCCATGATATCGACACGCCTTTCCGTCATCTTTTAAAAAAGACACGCCTTTCCGTCTCCAAGAACTTAAGTTTTAAGATCTTTATTAGGGCACATTAGTAGTGGAGGTAAATTGCCTAGATGTCCCTATGAATTGATGTCTTTGGTTTTATTTCTCACTTAACTAGAGGGACACATGGCTCGTTCCTGTCTTTGGTTTCATTTGTCACGTAACTAACGGTACGCATTGGAAGTTCATTTGTCCCATTTTTCGGCTGCGTTCCAGCTCTGCGTTCCCAAACGCTCTTAGCTCTTAGTACTCCGCTCAAAAAAAAAAAGGTGAAGCTGGAGGCCAGCACCGTGTTTTTTACTCCAATTTTTAGAGTTCTGTATCTCCACGGCGGGGCGGCAGGGCCCAGGAGCAGCGTCGCGAGGGGAGGAGGCGAGCTCGTCGAACTCCACGGTGCCGTTGCCGTCGGCGTCCATGGCGGCGATGAGCGCGTGGATCTCGTCCCCGGCGGCGGGGCGAAGGCCCAGGGAGCGGAGGAGCGCCGCCAGCTCCAGCTTGGTGAGCTCCCGTCGCCGTCGAGGTCGAAGCGGAGGAAGAGCTCCCGCAGCTGGCGCGCCTTCTCGTCGAGGAGCCGCGCGCGCCCGCCGGGCGCCGGGGCGGGGGAGGGGTCCCTGCCCTTGCTGGCGCCGGGGAGGGGCATGGACGCCGAGCGCTTTGTCCGGGCGGTGGTGGTGGACATGGTCGCGGTCGCTGGCAGAACGGGTTGCGCTGCTGCGGTCGCGCTGCCTTCTCGGACGTGGTCTTCGGGGCGGGGGCTCTGCGTCTGCATGTCGTCCCGTGGCGAGGCGACGAAGGGATATGATCACCGGGTCCTCTGCTTTCCGTTGAGGTTTGGTTTGGACGATGTGGCTCTGGCGTAGCCTGTGCAGTTGGTATATTGTTTGCTTCGTTTCTGGTTTCTCAACAGCTGCGGCCTGCGGTTGCGCTCGAATTGGGTGGTTGTTTTCTCCGTGGAGTTAGCGTGACTCGTCTCGAACCGTGATCGTTCTTCTATCCACGGTTTTTTTTGGTAACTAACGAAACTAAAGTGCAAGGTAACTTTTTACATTTCCAAATTAAATATGCTCTGTCATCGGTTAGAATTCCACAAGTTGGCATGATCTTAGAACTTGGCATGACATAATTCATCCTGGTGAAACTAGGACAACCAGAGACCTTCTAAATAGCCATTTAGATTTTTTGCTACACAAGTAGTACGTACAGGTAGGAAAAGAAAAACTGCATCCAGACGATACCTCGTGTGCTAACGTGCCAGGACTCGGTCAGTGTAGCCTATCAATATGGTTTACGGTAAGACATTTCTCATCCATAATAACAAACGGCAGAAAAGTTCTCAACGCCTCCACTGGCCACTGCCGTAACCGTAATAGCGGTACAATCAGCATGGCCTCAGAATAGAGAATACCGACGACCACATGCTCTACCGAGCAAAATAAAAGAGACAAGGACAGCAATTTATTACTTCAAGAATCGATAGTTCCACTCGCATTTCATTGTTCACCATCCTATTGACTGCAGCAAGCATCCTTATGAATTATATGTGCTACCACTGAATGTCTGAAACTGTATCCCGTCAAATCGTGAGAGAATTCGTTCAAGAGCTACTGCTCATCGTAAGAAAAGATACGGTGTTATGCCTTCAGTAGCTCGGCCAGACATGAACTAAGAATACAACCGTGTACAGGAACAGAACGCAGTGGAAGCACGTCTTCTAAAGAAAATTGAGGGGCGGAGCTCACTGTAGCTGTGTAGGCAAATTTTCGCTGTAGTGATGATACCTGGGATCCATACTTTCCTACCTCAGCCACCATCTCTGAACTGCCGAAATAGGTGTGTTGAGGAATGGCGCGTAGCGGTAAATGTATGGGTTTACAGCCCGGCCTATTCTTGCCCACACACTCTGGTGGTAACCAGATGTCACAGGAGAATGGTACATCAACTTCAACAGCTGCACAGAAGAAATGTCCGAAAAGGTTAGCCAGCCAGTGAAGTTCTAGCTGAACGGCTAATAGGTTCTATCAGTCAAAAAGCCCAGAGTCAGCAATGAGTACAATGCATGAGATGTCATTTAAATTACTACCCGATTGGTTATGCTAGATATCAACAATTCAATTTTTCGTATGACAGGTTAACAAAACTGGTACACACGAATAACTACTCAGTTATCAGAAGTTTGAAGTGCAGAAGTGTTGCTGCATTTTGAGATGCTGGTACACACGAATAACTATTCAGTTCTCAGAAGTTTGAAGTGCAAAAGTAATGCTGCATTTTGAGATGGCTGTGGCCGTGCGGGGACGAAATGAGGAGAAAAGGAAAACTACTTGTTCAGAGCAGTATAACTCACATGAAAATACATAAATGTCTGAATTATATTGCGTCTCGACCTGCATCGGCAAAAGGACAGAAGCATACGATGTAAGCTCACATACAAAAAACCTTTTACAAATACTAGTTCTTCACGAGGTAAATGCACGCACGAGAAAAGTGAGATGATCATGAGAAACCCCAGGGTGATTTCAGCATTCGAACAAAGTAGGCTGAGTGTAGTGTTGTTTGTCTCTACCCATAGGCAAGGGTCCTCTAAGTACTTCCTGAACAAGAGAAAGTAAGAAATCACTAACCACCTGGTGCTCATAATGGCAGAAATTGGGTCATCTACCATGTGCACAAGTACAATAAAACATATAACCGATTTTGAATTTACATACCTGTATAAAGAAGAGTGCGTAAAATTACGCCTTAGGAATCGAGCAACATGATCAAGCGCCCAGCAAAGCACAGGAAGTAGAGCAACTATAACCAAAACAAAAATGAATATCTTAGAACAGATGATATATTCACCTAACAAGTGGACAAAATCAGAAGTGCAGCTTACTCTTAAAGTGCACATTAGATGTGAACATCATAAGAGAGAACATCAAGTGAACAAAGTCCTTGGCTACAATAATAGATTGCAGCCAGGACTGAATTGCAGGCATATTCCATGCTCTTGGTTTCTACAAGCAGAACAAAATTTGTAACCACCATAAAATGGAACATTTTAATAACAGTAAAAAATAAAGGTGCATTATCCATTCATTCAGAATAACAGGCACTTACCCCATAAGTGCTATATAAAGAATATGCAGACGAGCATATTGTTCCTAGCAATGAAAGTCTGTATGCTTTACTTGAGATATGGTTGGGTAGAACTGGGAGTATTCCAAGACTAGCTACAACCAGTATCTGCGAAATCATAATTCAAGAAACCATAGGTCGGTCCAACATTTAAAAATATCAACCAAGCCATAGCGGTGTTAAGAACAAGAGAAACAGAAGGACAGTTATAAAAAATCGCTGATAAATCCATGATCTAATGATCAGGTGATCTGCCAGAATATATCAAAATCAGCAGAGAAAAAAATGACATGCGCACGTATGCTGTTAGCAGTCAGCAAATATGTGATCTACAAAGACAACTCTTAAGAATCAAAATGGTAAAAAGGTGAAAGGAGTGAAATGACTAGGCGAAAGTAACATTCAACACAATAAATGGTAGCCCCTGCTCACAGCTACTTGGTAATACATAGGAGGTAGTCACTCCATACCCAGGCATTGATAGAAAAATGTATTGTCCGTCTGTCTAGCCGTAATGAATTTGCAGTCCTCTCTGCTGATGGCTGTTGGGAAGCCCCAGTTGATCTCGTGCTAGAGCCTGCACGAGATCAACTTTAAATCTTAGATGGATGCGACATAAGAGAATAGTGGTAGGTCCCCACCAATGAATTCAAACTGTAATTCCATAGTAGACTCTCAAGTATAAATTCACAATACCTGAGTCACGAGATCTGACATTCTCACCAGACGGTGTAGCTGAAGACCTTGCTGCTGGTCTGCTAGACTGAGTTGAAGTCATGGAGGACATTGGCTCAACAACCAAAGCAGGATCCTGACATGTAAAGGAAGGAATTAAAGTATTTTTAAAAACCTGGCGTTGATTCTTTTGCCTGGTTATCATATCACCTTGAAAAGATCAAGCACAAGCAGCAATGTTTTGTAACATTAAAAACGGGTTTAACTATACAGAAGCTATTATATGCAGAAGAAGGGGTATAAATTGAAACATTAGAAAGGATAATGCTGACTGAAATAATGACAAAACATGATTAATCATGAGCAAAAAGAGAAAAGTTATATGGTATATTACTCTGTGCAGTCCAAGGAAACAAAATGGTTGCATCAATGATTGGCAGATATGAGCATCTAGCAATGTTAAACATGATTCCATGAGCACTGAAGATGAAAAGGGGAAAACTTAACAGAACAAAGTCAGAGCTCTTTGTTGTGTCCTTAATTGTGAAAATCCAAAAGGTAGCAAGAATTTCAAACACAGTACACACCCATGTCCTTGCAAAGAGAGTGAAGATGTAACGGGTTCAATATATAACTTCTTCAGCGTTTTGTATTGGTTTGGATCAACACAAGCAGCCATGCAGAATTACTTTTATAGCCCCAAACAACAAATTCAGCCTCCTGTTGTCTGTGCTACCTCAACTGAATGCCCTGCTGAACCACCCTCCAATTCCTCATGGATAACTCCCACACAAAAAGCATATTCGCACCAGATTTACACATGAGAAAACATTTAAGCCTAAATACTGGCAGGCAAAACCATAGCGAAAATGAGAATTTGAGGAAAACGGCAATATCACAGCACCTCAAAGCGAATTTGATCTTATGAGACAAAAAAGGTACACTAGAGTAGTACAGAAATGGAAGCTAGACTGATAGTGCTAGTTCTCCAATTCCTCATGGATAACTCCCACACAAAAAGCATATCCGCACCAAATGTACTCATGTGAAGACATTAAGTATTGGCAGAACCATAGCAAAATATGAGAATATGAGTGCAATATCACAGCCCCTCGTACCAAATTTGATATTATGAGACAAAAGGTACATTAGAGTAGTACAGTAATGCAAGGTAGACGGGTGAGACGGCTAGTGCTTTTGTTCCTTTGCCAAGACAATCCACTAGTACTACCTAAAAGAGACAATTCCTTTCCATTGTCTAAAGACGTTTTTAACAGAAGCGCACTGACCCTTTCGTGGAACGAATAATTCTTCCGGCACAAGTGCAGAGCATAAAGTCAGACGGATCGAGTTAAATGCAGCATGAGGCGCATCCAATCTGGCAACGACAACACGCGGAGGTTTAGGGAGGTGGGGGCCTCACGATGTATCGCTGGTAGAACTTGCGCTTGAAGTGGTCGACGACGTCGGGGCGGGACGCGAGGTGGGGCGGCACGAGGACGTTGGACCAGTACCCGGCCCACCGCGCATCGTTCTCGTAGTCGTACGCCGCAGCGGCGATCCGCTTCAGCCGCTGCGGATCTCCGCCGGCCCTGCTCCCTCCGGCGCTCGCGTCCGCCTCGCCCATCGCCGCTCGCACGCCGGGATCCTCCCGCCTGCCCTCGACGGGATCCTGGGTTCGCGTCGCGGTTCGCCTTTTCGATTCGAGGCGAGAACCGAGAGACCGAGACAGAGGGATGAGTGAAGAATTTTCAGCGGATGGGGAGATTTTTCTTTTCCCCCTGCTTGCAGTTGCAGAGTGGGACCTACCTAGAGTGCCTGGAAGTTGTTGGCAGTTGGAAAATTCTAAACTTCTAGAGTGACGGGCCATCCTGGTTCATATGGTATTTCATCCGTTCATATGGTATTTCTGCCGTCCTGGTTTTCTATATGTCCAAATGATGAACAAACATTTACTTTTAATTCAAAATTAACCATCTCTTGTAAGAAAATAACCATCCCTTGTAAGAAATAGATTTACGGTTGTGGTAAATTGGTAAAGTGGAAATGAAAGACTTGAGTTATACCTATCATTCCTTTTAGGCCCCATTTGTAACGGGAAATGTTTCTATCTCTTACGTTCTTCTCGTAAAAATAAACCGATTCATGTGAAATTTCTATACGATTCATGTGAAATCTTCCAATTCCAAAGAGACCCTTAGTGGTTTTGGCAACTTTTTGCGGGGTTATATGATTGTGTAGAAATAAGTTATGTTCAACATAACTACAACTCATTCATTCTTATGAGTCGTTTACAAGGGGGGCCAGGCGGGTCGGGGGGAGGGGGGATGGTAACTGATCCGACATTGATCATAGCTATTTAAAGAGGAATAATGTCATTTGCTAAACATCTAGGTGCTTGAAGTCTTCGAATACTTTGGTTGGCGTAAATGGTAGGACACAGGGCTTTAGTCTTTCTTTTTAGTGTTGTGTCGTTATCCTTTTATATCACCATTTGGTGGAGAAGAGGGTCTCAAATGATAAAGCTATATACAAATTAAACACATATGTTTATGATTATTTGATTTGTCGACATCCTTTTTGTTTGTTTGTATGGTTGGGTCAAAACAGGGGGCGGATCTAGCACCGGGGCAGGTTGGGCTCGAGCCCCGCTACCGCTACTCGAAGCATGGAGCCCCTCCTACAAATTATTATTCATGAAAGCTTAAAAGAAAGGGCTAGATATGAAAGATAATGAAAGAAGCCCATCCTAACCTATTTTTCTAGATCCGCTATCAAAATAAGTTACATAAAAGTTGCATCAATCTTGTTTCCCACCACAAATCGTCATTATATTTCCTATTCTCTTCATTCTAAATTATAGGTTGCTCTGACTTTTCTAGATACATAACTTTTACTACACATCTAAATATATCTAGATGCATAATAAAAGCTATATATCTTAAAAAAATAAAACAACTTATAATTTAGAAAGAAAGAACTATTTTTTTATTCGCATATACAGAATAACCAACCTGTTGGGTTTGACTATCGAAAAATGACAATCAACTATGAAACACAAATCAACCGGTCACTCCCTTTTTTTTATGATTCAAATTGCTGCAAAACCAAATTATCAAGAATGTGAATTTACTTATTTAGCTTGGATGTCCTACTAAGAATAACTACAATTTAGGTAACTATTCGGCTTGGGGACAGGAGAATTAAATATCTCCTTTTGGTCTAATTCCTTCTTTCTTTCAGCATACATCCACACATAGATGGCCGGGCCATACTGAAGCTTTGCCAGCGGAAATGATCTTCCAGGCCACGACACGGCGGCGAGCCGCGCGGTGCGCTCGTGTCGACGTCAACGGCGAGGTCATGCTACGTCGGTCGCCGGTTCGGTTGAGAGGACCAAGGCTTACCCAACACACACACGTCGTACGTATGGCCACATTAGGAACTGCCAGCTCGACACGATGATTTCCAACGCACACTTGCGACTATCCACACACACGCGCTAACCATATTACTACGAGTGACCAATGTCCCAGCCACTAATTTTACTTTTCAAATTTATAAATTTGTTCCGCCGAAAAGAAAAACCTAATTATTCAACTTTCAATAGCGGGCTAAGGTATTTAGCGGTATATCTCTAAAACAACTAATAGCGGAGCTATATCGGAGTTATAGCGGGATATAGCGGTTAAATTGTATATGAACACAAATAGCGGCATCCTGCCTCAAAAAGCTATAGCGGGTTACAGTGACAGGTATAGCGGGAGATTTAAAACTATGCTTCCAATTAGAAAAGGCACCTTCTTGCACTTTGTACCATTGACACCGCACGCGGGGTGGAGCTCACCCGCGTGCAGCTCACGGTAGCCCGAGCAGAGCCTGCATGTGCGCATCTCGTGCTCCACCTGCCCAGCTCACCGTGGGTGGAGCAGAACTCGCTCGTCGCGCAGCTCGCGACGGCCAGGATGGAACTCGTCCACATACCCGCACAGTGTGGAGACCTGTCGCGGCCTTCTCCACCGGAGCGGCGAGCTCCGCGTCAACGGCGAGCTCTGCACCGGTAAACTCAACAAACCGACGAGCCTCTATTCTCCCAAGCAGTAAGGAAATGTTGTGTTGAAATCGTATGTTGCAAGTGTATATTTCAAGTGTTTCAGAGTATGTTGCAAGTGTTTCATATGGATGTTGCAAAAATAGATCAGGATGTTGCACATGTTGCAATGGTTGTACATGTATGTTGCAAGCATCTTTTTCAAATGTTTTATCTGTTTTTCCAGACGTATGTTGCAAATGTGTTTATTTAGATGTTACATATGTTTCACACATATCTGCAAGTGTTTTGTCTCGGTGTTATATATGTTTTGCAATAACTTTTTCAAGTGTTTTCACGTGTTTTTAGCAAATATTTCAGACGCATGTTTCAAATATTTTATCTATCTTCAGACGCATGTTACAATGTTTCATCTCGATATTTCAAAAGTAGATCGGGTGCTGCTGGAGACTCACATGCCTGCGTGTTGCAGCTGCTGGGGCACGTTGACCGGCGTAGACATCAGGGTACGAGAAGCCGAGGGGGCACAAGCGGTCCCCGCGTGGGGTTAGGCGGCGCGGTCGATGTTCGGGCAGCAAGGGCCTGCGTGGCCGCACAAAACGGAGTGCAGGCGCGCGCGTCCAGACCTGAGCGCGCTAGCACTACCGCAAATTTTACTTTTCGAATTTATAAATTTGTTCTTCCGAAAAAGAAAACCTGATTATTCAACTTTCAATTAGGAAGGGCACCTTCTTGCACTTTGTACCATTGACTTTGACTCATTTCGCGGCCCAACACAACGGAGGAAGGTCACGACACGGCGGTCGTCCATCCATGGCGCGCCGCACGCACCAGCTCAACGTCCTGGCGGCAATGGACCGGGCCAAGACGCAGCGGTACCACCTCGCCGCCGCCGCGTTTGCAGGCACGGGTCTCCTCGATGGGGCCTACAACCTATTCTCAATCGTGTTCGTCAGCAGGCTCATCGGCCACGTCTACTACGCCGATGCCGCCAGCGCCAGCCCCGGGGAACGTCCACGTCCTAGCAAGCTGCCCTCCGACGTTGCGGCAGCGCTCAACGGCGCCGTGTGCTGCGGCACGTTTGTCGGCCATCTCGCGTTCGGCTGGCTCGGCGACAGGATTGGCCGCCGGCGCACATACGGCTTAGCTCTGGTGCTGATGGCCGCGTGCTCCGCGGCGTCTGGACTCTCTTTTGGCCGCACGGCGAAGGTCGTCCTGGCGACGCTATGCTTCTTCCGCTTCTGGCTCGGTGTCAGCGTCGGTGGCGCCTACCAACTGAGCGCGCCCATCGTTGCGGAGAACGCCAACAAGCGCACCCGCGGTGCCTTCGTCGCCGCCATCCACGCCATGCAAGGTGTCGGCATCCTCCTCGACTGTACCGTCGAGCTCGTCCTGTCCTCCTTCTTGCCGGAGGCCGACTACATGTGGCGCGCCATCCTCATGGTCGGCGCGTTGCCGGCCGCCCTCAGCTTCCACCTGCGCATGAAGCTACCGGAGACCGCTCGGTACACGGCGCTCGTCGACCGGGACCCGAACCTTGCGGCGGCCGACATGTCACGGGTGCTGCGCTCAAGCATCCAAGAACAGGAGCTCAGCGTCTCCGTTGGCGACGTCGACGACGAGTGCGGCCTCTTCTCCTTGCAGTTCTTGAAGACCCATGGCCTCCACCTGCTAGCCACCTCGAGCGCGTGGTTCCTCCTCGACCTGTCCTACTACAGCCAGAACATTCTCCAGCAGGACCTGTTCGGCAGACGGCAGGTTTGGGTGGGTCTCCTCTCCCATTCCCCGGCAGCGACCATGGCCGCCATCCAAGAAGTCTCCTGCCTCGCCCGCGCGCTGACTCTCATCACGATTTGCGGCGCCATTCCGGGGAGCATTTTGTCGATCGCCCTAATCGACGTCCTCGGGCGGCGCCGCCTCCAGGTCGCCGGCTTCTTGATGATGGCGCTTTCCATGCTTGCCCTCGCCGCGTCATACAACCACTGGACGTCGCCCATCGCCGGCTTCGTGGTTCTCTATAACGTGGCCTTCTTCGACGACAGTGTTGGTCGATCCCGGCACCACGACGTTCGTCACGCCGGTAGAGCTCTTCCCGGAGCGGCTTCGGTGCACCTGCCACGGCATCGCCGCGGCGGCGGGGCGGGCTGGCATGGTTCTTACTGCGTTCGGGTTTTTGCCCATGAAGGGCGCTGACAGGCGACAGCAAGTATGCGGCGAGCATTGGCCCCCAAAACGAGCTATTCGTCCTGGCCGGCACCAATTTCCTGACAGCGTAGTGAAAAACGATGTTTCGTTTTTCTCTCCTGATGAAGCATAGATTTTACCACCGTGATTGTCGATGCTCGGTTGAAATATTCTAGCATCGAGGCTTCTATAGTCATGGATGCTCCACGCAAAGAAGTGCATAAACTATTTGTCGGTGTTTTGTAAACCGAAATAGTAAATTTATACGATTACCACGCTGGTCTAGAAAGACGATGGTAGCATTCAAAAGACACGAGGATATATACTGGTTTAGGCCGAGTCCTATGTCCAGTCTCAGAGATAATCGAGTACGTGTTCCTCACTTGAATGCT